GGGATAAAAAGAGGCTCGAAAGGCTCAATTGTAGATTTTACATTTACAGTTACCTTTTGTGAAGGCATTTTAATTTGATGATGCAACTCATGAGGTCGGTTTAGCCATATTAAAGTTAAGATTGAAAATATTTATGGACTCTATATTCCTTACAGTCAGCAAATGAGCTATTTAAATGACATTCTGAGTGCGTTCAAATTAGTTCTTGCTATAGTTAGTAGCAACTTGTGGAAAGTAAATTCCGAAGTTCCATATCTGATGGGAAGAAGGATACCTACGTAACATCACCTTTGACGGAAGCATCAGAAATGAAAATCCGGATTTTCGGTTTCATTCAGTTTGAAGATGAACTGCATCGTGTTCTACGGCACTTTCATGCCGAAAAATGTGTTCCTTCTTGTCGTTTAATAAAAACCGGAGGTTAGCGTCCGCATGTTCTTTCTGCTTTCCAGTGAATGCGGGTAAGTTCACAGCCTTAGACTTAAAGATCACTTGGTAAATAGGGTCTCATTTATACAGGTCTGTAATTATTTGGAAGCAAAATTCCTCACTTATGACCCCCACAGAGCATCCGAAGGGATCGTCCTATCTCGTCATAGGTGGATTGAGGTCATCATGAAACTGTAATTACTTTCCCTTCTTTGTGTCCATTCTTAATGTGCTTCTGATTTGAAGGGAAGCAAGTGGCACAAGCAATGGTATTTTGTTGGAAATATCTTCTTTGTAGTAGGCGAATTGCTTTTCACCATTCCTACCACCATGGCTTCATTTATTCGCACAACTTTAGCCGACAAATCGTAGTGTCGAGGTGATGAGGAGTGATGCAAGCGCACCATAAAAACAAATTAAAAGTATGTTAATCAGGTTATCCTGATCACTTTCGTTGTGATAGATCACTTTCCTTAGCCCACCTTTCTGCACCATGGCGCATAAGAGGAGGACTCCTGCTGCAAAGTCTAAGAGCAGGAGCAGTAGAACCAGGCACAGTCAACACTAGTGAGTGTTCCCCTTCCCTTTTTCCAAGTGTTGCCTCGCTCACAGTTCCATAACCGATTTATTCTCCAGCCAAGTCCCCTCTTCTTCCTCCTCCTCTTCCTTTTGGGCTTTGTTTTTAGGCAATACTTTGCTTATTGTCTACTGAAAAACATCTTCCGAGAGGTGTATCGTGATTTCCAAATCAGCCATATTCTTGGTGACTGTGAACTTGGTATCATTCATTGAGTTTAGAAGGTTCTTCTCTTTTTTGATGAAGAAGAATCTTTCTGACGATACTTAGGTTAGAAATTGTCTTTCCATTTGTTCGGCTATTCTAAGGGAAGTGGATTGCAGTGAAAGGTTCTTGATCCTTTCATATGCTACTTATTTTAGTTAACTTTTTGACAGTTTGTGTGTGTTCAACGCTTTGTTGGTAGAAGTCGAAAACCAATGTTTGCTCCATTGTAACAAAAAGGAGAAATTTTTAAGCTTTAAGATAACGGTTTAGTGTCCTCATGAAACACCGAATGATACATTAACATGGAAGGTATCGATTGAATAGGTGGGAACTTTTGACGAAACAGGCTCTATGCATCAGTCTCCACTTCAATATATATCCTATGAAATAATATGCTTGACGGGTTGCTTGAAAAGTGTCACGATGTGCGTTTTGTCAAAGGGAGAGCTGTCATTATGAGGGCACTTTCTCGAGGCTTGCTTTAAAACTGTGAAGAGGAGTGGAGTTGCGCAAATGCACTTTCATTTGACAATCCTTCTTCTTGACACGCCCTGCATCTACATCGCAAAGTTGCAAAGCTTCCCTGACATGAAATTCATTGAAGCCTTTCAAATGCTGGTTTCATGTTCGAGTTCACCCAGTTCCCAAATAGGCCTTTTATCGACTTTGACAAGCCCACTTGAAGTCAGAAAATGTATGCAAGGTTGGTTGTCCCTCATTTAATTCATTTCCTCTCTACTTATCGAATGCCTTTAACATTTTAGCGGCAAACCAGACAATGGTAACGGCGACTTTTTGCTTTCTACAAGACCCACTAATATGGAAAGAAGTGTAAGTTGCATAATTGCCTCGTTTTTCACTCATCTTTCTTCCCTCTGCAAAGTTTTTTCTTTTTAAATTTATTTATTTTTCGCATTGCGTTTCAGGGCTTCAAACCGGAGATGACAATTAAGGACTATGGCTACTACAGTGCGTTTGCCTCCACGCTGTGTTTAAAACATCCATTACCACTTCCTTTTATTTGTCTAAACTCTTGAAGGCAACCATTGTTTATAAATTTCCTGCTTTTAATTTATTGTGAAAATGACTCTTCTTTCTTCTATTTTAGAGCCTATCCCCGGTGAGTTTGAGGTGCAGCGATTAAAAGGCCTTCTTTTGAACGTCTAACTACTGGTTTGCTGTGGATGAGGCAGATAAGTTCTTTTGTGGCAAGTAATCTAACCCTTGAGAGCGAGCAAGGTAGTTTCACGGCCCACAGGCTGAAAAGATTGCCCCTAAACCCTCAAACTCAAACTAACCTGCTGAGAATCTGCGGGTATTGTCGATCTGCATTAGCATCCTTCCCACAAGTTATTTCAAGCCGCCAAATAGTTAGTCAAACCTGCTCGATGACGAAAGAGAGCCTGAAGTTGAAGTCTTTTTATTGATCCCAACAGTTGTCATGCTTTTTGTGATCTGCTTGACAGGCTTATGATTCATTATAATTTATTGCAATAGTGCATTTAGGAGGGTTTCTCTTCTCATCCCGCATCTAAAGGTGACCGCTTTGCGCCATTTTGTCATAACCATGAGTGATGGCAATCAACATTTAAGAGTCACAATGACGTGACCCACGGACCGTTACATTATCAATCTAAAAACAACAACTTGCCCCTCGAATCGTAAAGCGGTTGTTGGAGAAATCGATATGACAACTCCTAGACCATCAGTCGCGTCACTTATTGATGCTAGGGTGGTTGCGTTTTGAACAAGGGCAATAAGTTATTTTAATTGTCGTGATGCAATCAGTGGGCACAGCCGCCCTCCCTTGCAGGTGACACTTGACGAAATTTTATGCGCTTTATTTCTGGCACACTAGACGCGCCACCTAAGAAGCCTGCTTACCTTCCTACCTCCTTCTCTTGCCAAATTGCACAGTACTGCGTTTTCACAAGCCTATTCTCTCTCTAATGCAATCTGGCACCAGAAAATGAGCACAGTCACCGCCACTGTGGGTGCTACTGCTACATGCAGTGGAAACGCACCGGAGGCATGTAGAGCAAGAGCAAGAGAAAGTGCTAAAGCTGTTTATTTGCGCTGGTTTGGTAAAGATAACGTAAAGTTCCGTAAATAAAGTAAAAGAGTTGTAGTTACCCTTTTTGTGATAATCAGTGGCCTAGCATGTAATAAAATTGCCTCAATTCAGCAAAAAATCTTAACAAACTAACTTTCCGCTTTATAAGATGGCTAATTGATCAAGGAAAATTAGATCAGAAAAGAAAGAGTAACTATTTTGAGATGTGTTTTAGCAGCAGTAAATGGCACACAGCAGAAGAAAGAGGAGGAGAAAATTGACATCGAGAGCTTCATCAACGGAGTTCGTGCTCGTGGCGGAACGTAAGTTGGATTTACTTTCATTCGACTGGATAATCTTTTGCCCTCTCATCCCTTTAGACTTGTCGTCGCAAAACAGAAGAATGTGAGTGAAGCGGCTAGGGAACTCAGCATTAATGTTGGCGATATCCTTGAGGTAATTCTGCTTTCCTACCTTTCGCCTACACTTTAACAACTCATATTGTACTTTGCAAATTAATGTTCTTATTGCCCCAATTTTGCCTTGTGCATTCTTCCCACTCAATTCTTCAACTCAAGAGGCGAGAAATAATACATTTGCTTTGTTGCATAGGTTTTGGATGATAGCGGCGAGTGGTGCTGTTTGCGCACCCCAACCGGCCAGACTGGCCATGTTCCACGTCGTTGTATTGAAGTTCTAGAGGAGAACATGGCAGGACCTAGTAGACGTTCACTTCCTCACGATCGCTCCAAGTCACCGCGGGAGAAGAAAATATCAATTTCCAAACGCAGCAGCGGAACGACACGCAAGTTCAAGAAAGCCCCACAGGAACCTGAGACCGAGGTGTCCGAAACTGCCAGTACTGATGAAAACTACGACGGTGGAGACTACGTGCGTCGAAGTACTTCTAGTCGTACAATGAAGCATCACTCTTGCGTTTCCTGCTGCGACGGTGGAGCCCGTTCCTGCCACCATCACCATCACTCTATGTCACCTCCAAAACAAGAACCCGTGGCTATGGCCACGGGCCAACAGTACCAGTCAATGAACGTGCAGCCTTTGCAACAGCGTCCCACTGGTCAGCCCATCATACACCAGGGTGCTAATGGCCAGCCATCGGTTATTGTGGTCCCCTCAGCACCCAGTCAACCGGCTCCTCCTAGACCTCCCCCTGTGCACTATTTGGTGACTCCACCACCACCACCACCACCGCCACCACAACCTGCACCACCTCCACAACCACTCATTGTTCCAATGCCTTACCCGATGCAGCAGCCGATGATGCAACCACCCATGATGGCACCGCCTGCGATGGCACCAACTATGATGCCACCTCCTATGATGCAGCCTAACATGGGATCCTATGGAATATATGGCACACTTCCACGTGGAACACCAGTTCCCATGGACCCTTTCTACGACGGATACATGGATTACGAAGGATTTAGACGTAGACGCTCGTCGCCCTCACCTAGAAGAAGCACACGGCACAAGCAAAAGGGCAATGGGAGGAGGAAGAAGAAGGTTGATCGCTCAAAGAGTGACAGAAGTAGCAGCAGCAGTAGTAGTAGCAGTAGCAGTAGTAGTAGTAGTAGTAGCAGCTCTAGTCGAAGCAGTTCATCCCGTTCAAGCGATAATAAAGGACGCTCAAAGGGCAAGAAACACGTTAAGTCAAAGAAGGAGAATATTCCACAGGCTCCGCCACCACCGCCACCCCCTCCAAAGGAAGACACTTATGGTAAGTGTAAGTCGTGCTCAACTGACCCTTATTTTCTTTTCGAGTGGTAAGAATGCAGGAAGTGAGTAAATTGAGCACCCCTTATAGGTTGATTAGGTGGGGTGAGCTAATAAAAGGTACGGACGCTAGCCTTTATGTCAAGGCTAAAATAACGCACATTACTTTAACACACTTTTAACAAGATACCATACTTTCAATGTAGATTACTCTTGGAGTTAGAAATCACTCTACTTTTTAACCTGCATATTTCTTTGGTTACTCTCTTTTGACCACCGAAGACGCTCATACTCAACAATGCTTCTATCCTCTTCCCTCTTTTAGATGTAGTTAATCAAACTGTTCGCAAGCAAAGGTTTTTATCTCAAATGCCTGGTAAGTGCAGGTTTCCGACATTTCTGGTAGCTGCCACTTAAAGTAGACATAAGATTGTTTTTTAACAAATATTGTTAAGATGCAGTAAAACAATAACATTATCTTGAAAGTGTGTATTTTGTCTTTCCCCACCCCTTCCTTTACTCTCCTTTTCCCGTCTCTTCCTTCTCTCTCTGCTTGCGTCGCCTCGTGACGATAGGTATGCCATTCTATTGAGCTAAACCGTGGACATGCACATAATTGCTTGTGGACACTCATTTTGCAATTAAATAGCCGTCTGAACAACTGCCCGCTACTCTAAGCCTCTTCAAGTACTCCTTTTGGACACCCCCAAAGACGTCACCTACCAGCCATCCAATCATTTATCCCAATCCGCTCATTCGCCTGTCTATTCCTATACCTCCCTCCCTATCCCCTTCTCGAATGACCTTTGAATAAACTATGTTTGTTCACTGCTTGATAACAACTCTGACTTCTGATAGGATCAAGGCAGACAAATGGCGTAGAAACTTTGCCCTATCATGAGTTGGCATTGCAGACAGGAGAGACTCCGTGTGTGAGGATGGTTTTTGGGGCTAAGGTGAAGGGGTGGGGATTCAGATTACAAAAAAAGGAATTGGTAAAGGGTTCTCTCCCCTCTCTTCAGGCTTCATGTTCAGGATGCTTGTCCCCTAATAACACTCTTGATTCCGTTAGTTCCGCCTAGCCAATGCCCAATATTCCCCTTATAAATTGACACCCTCTTTTTTTCGTTTTTCCTTTCATGCTTTTTTTCAAGGCCATAGACCACGTAAGTCAAGGAGTTGCTACCTTCACTCCAACGTCTACTTGTTTTGCTTTTGGTTTGCTGTGCTGTGGCTAACTTACATTTCGCCTAATCCTTATGCTTTGAAAGTTATTCAGCACAATTAAAGATTTTATCCAAAATTGACCTTGTTAAAGAAAGCGAATAGGTAATATTCCAAGCAGCTGCTGAGTCGTTTACTCTTTATAGTGGGTAGGATACTGCTCCCATTACACCTGTGCAATTGCATTACTCTCAGACTTAACTGGGTGAAAGCTAACAATATTCACCATCCCAGAGTGCAGATCCAGATCGGTTTGGGCTTACAAAACGCCCTCTTTGTAATCCTTCAGCACCCCATATGGAGACGATGAATAGGGAGTTGCAGGAGCGCATGAAAGCAATGCGTGAGGGCAACTCCAATGGACTAAAACCGGCATCACGTCGAAAGTTAAACGACTCCTGGAACGCCTCTCAAGTCTCCTCCAATGGTGCCGATCCGGCCACAGAGATAGCTCGGTTGGCTAACAAGTTTGGCACCGCACAGGTTCGTCTAAGAATCATAATCTCTGCTACACATTCAGCCGAAATCGTGCTCTCTAATCTCATTCACACTGTCGCCAAAACAGGTTGGGAGGGGAGGGGATGTTACAGCCTTAACGCAAGTTTTGCCTTTTTCAGGTGAGTTGAACACCCTGCATCCAAGCCTAGCACTGAGGGATGTGAACGCCCTTGGAGTCCTCATTTCCCTTTCCCCATACTCGCCTAATTGCCTCAGCCGTACTTTAAGGACTTCTTATATAACTTGTCATTTTTGTCGCCTTGGTTCTCGCTTTTTTCCCTGATGTGCGTT